AGAACTCTCCTTTGAATTCAGTGCCCCCGTCAACCAACACAGCTAGCGGTGCTCCGAAGTACCTATACCAACACTCTCTAAACAACTCCGCTACTGTTGACGCTCTCTTGTCAGTTGTTACAAACCGAGTTTCATGATCGATTATCACTACAAGATAGTAAACTTCCCCAGCCACAGTCCTCGGCCCTAGTGAAACCAATTCATTGAAGCAGTCTCTGTCCAGAGTCCCCGGCTTCGACACAGCTACCGGTGCGGTAAACAAACGACGACAAAGTGGACAGTCTCGGCAGAAGTCTTCTACGTCCTTCGTTATGCCCGGCCACCAGAAGTACTTGGTCACCAACCTCAGCATCCTCTTTACCCCCGGGTGTCCTTCAACCCGAGCCAAATACAACAGGTTCTGGTGATCAGTCCTGATGGTAAACGGCGCAGCGCAAAAGTAATCCTGCCACCTCTCTACGAAGAACCTTACCGCATACAACTCCCTTTCTCGTGTATCCCACCGCTGTTGACACTCGTCCATCTTCTTGCTACCAAACTCGATCGGAACACGCCCTCGGGCCTGCTTCTGCTCTAGCATGGCGCCGATCGCCCGATCACTGGCATCCGTCGTTAGCACGAATTCTCCAATGTCTGCCGGCGCTGCTAGCAACACACACTCGGCCACCGATTTCTTGATACTCCTCCTCTCGTGCCTCACTCCAAACAAACTCAGTCTTCTTTTTGAGCAAGTCAGTCATGCCAGCAACTCTACTCGCGAACTGTGGAATATACCTCTTGAGGTAAGTCACAGAACCCAAGAACGACCTCAGTTCTCTTACGTTACACGGAGCGTCCACTCTCATCAGGTCCGCCACCTTCTTCGGGTCCGTCTTGATGCCTTCCTCGCCTACAATGAACCCTAACAGCTTTGCTTCCTGCTTCACGTATTCACCCTTCTTCAGCTTAAGAAACAAACCTTCCTCGCAGCACCTCCCGAGCACCTCGTCCAGACGCTCAAACAACGTATCCAAATCATCAGCGTACACGACAATATCGTCAATGTACACGTTGACATTCTTTCCTATGAGACCTTCAAAGACGTGGTCCATCACCTGCTGAAACAGGATCGGCGAATTCTTAACACCAAACGGAATCACAGTGTATTCGAATGTGCCCCTATGCGACACAAACGCAGTAAACTGTCGGCTTTCTGCCCCCAGGGGTACATTCCAAAAGCCATGATTACAGTCTAGACACACATAATACTTGTGACCGGCCGCTAACTGCAGTTGCTCCCACAACAATGGTATCGGGTAGGCCTTCAACACCATCCCCTTGTTCAACGCTCGGTAGTCGATACAGATTCTCCATTCACCAGTTTTCTTACGTACAAACACCGGTCTCGGTCGCCACTAGGAATTACTAGGTTGTATCACACCCATGCTCAACATGTCGTCTATCTGCTTATCTAGTTCCTCTCGTAACTCTGGTCTTAACGGCTTCAACGTATGCTTCATCGGCTTCCCGTCTACTTCGAACTCCACGCTATGCCGTGTTCTGCCTGTCCTTGGCCGCGACCAACACTTCGAATGTTTTTGTAACAAACCCCAAAGCCTCTCTCTGACAACACCTTCCAGATGAGACATCATATCTGGCCAACAAGTGTTGGTCTGACTTCTCCTCCTCCACCAGTGACACCGCATTGACCTTGTAACAGCTCTCCACATGGAACTGGCACTTACATGCATCGAAGATACCCAGTGCAATAATGTCTGGTACGCCCAATACCAGCTCACCGTCCTTCAGTTCCTCGCTGGAATACAGCACAGTCTCCATCCGGCGGTCTTTTGCGGCCAACGACGCCTTGAACAAGGTCACCTGTTTCCTGGTAAACAAGCCTCTGATGGCACCAGCGCCAGCCTCTTCTAAGCCTAACTGACGTGCGAGGTCCATACTCACGATAGACGTAGTTGCACCCGTATCTAAAAGTGCTGCTACTACTACCTCGTTCAACACTACTCCCTTAGTGACTCTCGCAGCCCCTAACGTGTCTGCAAACTTGGCGACCTGGGTAGTTTCTTCCAACTCTCCGTCTTCCATCAGCGCGTCGGGTCGAGCACTCGTTTTCTTCTTATCTCGGCGCTCTTTCTCAACTGTGCGCTTTTTCTCTTCCAACTGGTTGACCTCGCTTGTGACAGTTGCTGCACTCCAGATCCTTCATCGGACACACGTTCGCCCTGTGGCCCTTCTTA